ATGCGCGGTTAGGAGGTGATTGGTTCGGGTATTTTAAGTATGTCCCGTTTAGTGATGTCACGTCCCCATCTTGTCATATAGATGGGTGGATTTCAAGTACCAGGTGTGGTCGACACTGGCTCTATGGTATCTATTGTTACTGAGAGTTGTATTTGTAAATAATTTTTTTAACTATGGGGACTGGACAGACTTCAGTCGTGCTAGTGGTTGTAGCTGCCGGCTGCTTATGGGCATTTAATTCCTTATATTGGTTATTTGGGATTGTACAATATGGCTCTGTTCTTTTCGGTCTGTCATTTACCCGTGAAACCACTAGTTTCGTTATACAGGCATTGTTCTCTGTAGATTTGAGTGCGATGATGCCTATCCATTGTTCTCTGTATCCATTTTTTTTCTGTAGATTTGAGCGCGATGATGCCTATCCATTGTTCTCTGTAGATTTTAAGTACGTTCTCTGTAGATTTTAAGTACGGTGAAGCATATCCATCGTTCCCTATAGATTATTTGAGTGACGGTGTCGCTACGGTGGCTCCTGTGACTAATTCTGTCCCTGCCCTCTTTAGGCCCTGGCACTAGGTAATTTCCTGGCTGTAGTGGGAGTCGGTCCATCGTCGGGGCGACGATGCAAGAGCTAGGGGCAGATGTGGCAGGGTGGGTTTGACCCCGCCCTATTATTTGTGGTTGTCACGTGAGTGATGTATGTGACAGCCTATTGGCAGCCGTACCTGGCCTATTTAAGGTGGAGTTCAGGCCACCTGGGTATGCGTCATTGTCACGATCGCTTCTGTGTGGGTGCGCGCGCAGCTCTGCGGGAGGTATGTACCTAGCTGTTTGGCTAATGTTGCTGCTCGTGCACATGTACTTTTAAAGAGGGGATGTATTTGTTTTAGCCAGGTTATGGCTGGGATCGGTGCGACCTTGCTTTTGGGTGCAGGCTGTCTTTTACTACAGCTGAGGTGTGTGATCCGATGGAACACCTGTGCATTTGTAGTTTGCCTATGATGAACGAAGCTGTGAGTCACCTGAATATTTTGTGGGTCTATATAGCGATCCACTACTGGGTATGTATATCTAACCACTTGAACATTATTAGGTGGGTGATTTTAAATTCATTCATTAATTTTGTCTGTTTTTAGTGCGTCAATCCGCTCGTGAGTGGTTCGTCTCTGTGGACTGCGGGGCAAATGCGCCCTAGACAATGCTGTTAGACTGCACTGTTTGTTCTGCTGCCATTTTAACCTACGGTGTGACCGTTTCCTGTTTGTTTTATATTTGTAGCTCTAAGCTAATGCTGGTGGCTTAGGTGAAGAGCGGCTAGTCTCAGAGCCGTCACTTAAAGTTTGACGTGCCAGTAATTATGTACATTAGCCCCACCTTTTGTAATATTGCCACCAGCAGTCTGTTAACTGTTTTTTTATTTGTTTCCTGTGATTTCATCTGTTTACTCTGTCCAAACAGTAGTTTTCCGTTTGTATTGTTTGATTTGCAAAATGTGTTTTGCTCTGTTTTTGTTTATAGCAGTTGGCTGCTCCACGGTGTGTCCAGGCTTGAATGGCTATGTAATGTAGCGTTAAACTCTTCAGGTTACGCCGCCTGGTTAACTTCTGTGGCCAGTAATTGGCCGTTTTTGACCTTCCTTGTATAGGTTGAATTGTTCTTCTATAACTTGCTACATGTGTCTGTGGCTAATTGTGAAACACTGTATATTATTGTGTATTATTGAGCTGAAGGCCCCCGGTGTAGGGAAGCTAGCTGTATTTGCCCTTTTTGGTGGTGGTGTTTCCTTCACCGAGTGTTTTGCCGTTGGCACCTGCGTTCCTTCACTTAGCAAGTATGAGAATGAGAGTATTTGTGTGAGTAGAATTTGGTGAGTGGTGTGGTCTTAGGATACTCACTGCCCAGCTAGCTGCCCTACTGGTAAGCCTCAGCCTGAAAGTGTTTTTTTTTTTTTTTGATCTGGTGCACCGAAGTGGTGTAAACCCGTGCCCCCTGAGTCAACAGTTTTTTAGATATTTAAGATAATTATTGTTGCGAAAATAAAGTATTTTAGTATTCAGATCCACGTCTCTTGTCCTCTGTGGTGGCGAATCTGTGTGTCTTAGGACATTTGCCCGTTCACGTAACGGGGTGGCGTTATCTGCTCTCTAATTTCTTCATTTCGTACATGAAGTGTAACTAACTTTTTACCCCCTGTGCACCAGCCCCGCCACACATGTGTAGACTGATATGTTTCTAATGTCTGGTCTCCGTTTCAATATATTGGTACTGTAGCCTATTAAATGCATTTTCTGAGAATTTATAGGCCTATTTCAAGTTTTGACTGCAAATGTCACGTCCATAACGCTGGAATTCCCCAATTTTAAATAATCTATCCTCAACTAGTTTTGTTGTGTTGGTCTACGTATTTTATAATGTTAACTTCAAAATTCAAATAATAGGCCTAATAATATAATTTAAAGATGTGGTAGCATTGGATCTGGACGGGAAGGATAACTCTTGAAACTGGAAGGGCTGTGTCGAGATTCTTTAGGTTCATGGATCTGAGCGTTGTGATTTCGGTTTCATATCGCATTTCGTTACAGCTACATATCTTTCCTCTCTCCGCCTCCATCTCTACCTGCAGACTGAGCTCGTGCATCATCTTCGTGCCAGTTATTCAGCCAATAAAGTGTAGGCCTATGTATCTCATAGAAAATTGTGTCTAGTAGCTACTATATAAATTACAAAGGTTTAATTGACATCTTTATTTCAAAGGACCCTACCGACCGCGACCCGAATATCATTAAAATATTTTTGGATGACTCGTAACCGCGGGTAACCGCGGGTGACCGCAGGCACCCGCTCATTTTGGATCAACCCGCGCATCACTGGCATGCACCGCCCCCAAACAAACACTTTAACTGCGTCTATACAAAGGGGGTAATCCACCAGCCGGGAACTGAAGTCTGCCTGGGGGCCGCCATTGGCTACCAAGCCTTCACCTGCTGTTAGCATTCCATTGACTCCCATTCATTTTGGCGTCACTTTGACAGCGAATAACTTTACATCTGAGGCGTTAAAAGACTCCATTTGTCCATTGTTTATTTCTAAAGAAACATGACAATGTATAAAAGGCTCCATTACCTTGTATCTTACGTTATGGCCCCGTAGAAGCAGTTTTTGTAAAAATAGGCTAACGATGGCGTCATAACACGCGACTCTCTGTCGCACAGTAGAGAAATTACCGTATAGACAGGAGAAACTCGCGGCAATCGGAGGGACGCGGAGGCATAAAGTCCAGGGAGTAGCCCATAGAGAGTCATAAAGTTGATCCTGCTGCTAGCTCATGGACAGTTTCTACTCGCGCTCTCCGGCTCTGCAAGATTCGGAAGGGAATGATTCAGATTCCTCTTGACACCGCTACTAGAAGACGTACAACTGTCAGACAGGTTGCTCACGTCACATCTACGTCGTCAAGCTCAGTTTGAGCCTGCGCAGTGCGCTTGGCAATTAGGAAGTGAGTGCTTCTAATTGACTTCACTTTTCTCCGTTGAAGTCTATGGGGTCACTGTGTCCATTTCTTTTACTGTCTATGGTCTAAACCCGCTCGTAATGTAGTGAGGGCAGGGAGGGACACGATTCAAAAAGCGGTTTGCTTCACATGAAGTGGCGAGTCTGTTTTGATACAGAGCTGCCAACTCTCACGCATTGGCCGTGAGACACACTCATTTGATTGGTTTCACACACTCACACGCCACACCCACGGTTTCTCACGCTGAAGTGTCAACCCGGTCGGTCAAATGCCAGAGTGAAAACTCCTGCCTAGCTAATTTTAAGACGGACAAAAAACACCATGACATATATTCACATAGAGCGCTGGCTGAAGACACAGAAGCTGACGCTGTGTGGTTCAGGTGTGCTTTATAGTTTCCTGGTCGATGATGTCACATGATGTTCCGTCACGCCATTGGACTGGTTTCATACATGCTTCATGACGCAATCACGCAGAGGCGTTCCGACGCAGCTCGAATTCCCTTGAAAGGGAAACCAGTTTTCCATATCAAGCATAACAAGCTGTTTTGTACAGCTAAAAATAACTGGAAGCGAATGACACCGGAAGCCAGACACATTAAAATTACAAATGTCCGCGCCCGCTCTTACCTGAAAAATAAGGTGGATAAGGCACTTGAAGACCCACAAAAAACATGTGACCTCAATATACATTGAAATGTCTCAAAAATCAATTGGCTTCCAAACTCACTGGAGGGTTTCACTGTCAGATTCAATAGTGACACAGGAATAATTACTTCATAATGTCTCAGACAGCAGTGAGAAAGGAGTAGTCAGTAACATCAAAAGGACCATAAATGGCCTGTTTAATTTATGTCATTATTTTATCTTCAGTGACAATTGGCCTTTGCGCCACTTGGTGATTTCGCAAATTAATTTCACATCCTTAAAAGAATGTCATGCACAATCATTTTGACTTATTTTTGGTCACAACAATGTTTTAGTACCATGAGTCAGTTTTGATGACTTTGAAATAATTATAAAATGTTAAAAATAGTTAGTTTTGAACATAAAAAAGAACAACATGCATATTTTAAATGTAACTCAATCAGTAAAGAGTAAATAGTAATGATAGCAATAGCAGTAGTATAATGATAGTACTATTATCGGTAACACTTTACAATAAGGTTAATTAGTTAACATTAGTTAACTACTAATGAATAATACTTCTACAGCATTTATTAATCTTATTTAATATTAATTCCAACATTTACTAATACATTATTAAAATCAAAGGTTGTATTTGTTAACATTAGTTAATGCACTGTGAACTAACATGAACAGCTTTATTTTTTATTAACTAACTTTAACAACTAATACAGTAACAAATGTATTGATCATTGTTAGTTCATGTTAGTTAATACATGAACTAATGTTAACTAATGAACCTTATTGTAAAGTGTTACCCTATTATCAGTATTACAGTTATTTATACAGTTACAGTGTTTTACCTGGTAACGCGAGCATGGACTGGAAATCCCAACAATTGAAAGTACCCGTGGAATCATCTGCACAGGACATCCAGAGGTTCTCAAAGATGCTGGATGTGATGATAACACTATCGTCATCTGAAGACACTTTCCAGTAGTGACTAAGTAATGATAATACAGCAAACCCACACCCCAAAAAACCCAAGAGAAGTGCAATAATTTGCAATATGTCTTTCATATCTCTGGATCTTCTGCGTTCCAAGGTGTTCCGGGTGGCTGGAGATCAGTCTATGTTCTGTGTGCATACTGCACATTTTCAAGGAATATAGTCTGCCTGTCTTGCCATGTTACCTGCACTCTCAGAAAAAAAAGGCACACAAGCTGTCACTGGGGCGGTACCTTTTCAAAAGTCACACCTTTGTACCCAAAGTGCATATTAGTACCTCAAAGGTACATATTGGTACCAAAAGTGTACATATTAGTACCTAAATGGTACAAAGTAAATAATGACCTTTTTAAAGTGTGGACCATACCCTTTAAAAAGGTAATTATTTACTTTGTACCATTTAGGTACTAATATGGTAGCTTTTGGATAATTTTTTTTCTGAGAGTGTGTTAAACAGTCTTACATAAGTCCAGAGTTTTGACAAAGGCAGACAGGTACAAAAGAGAACCACCAACCCAAATCAAATCTAGTTCACTTTTTTATAGAGCACCATCAAATTTCATAGTTCTACTGCTAGCCACACGTAGTGATAAATTAAACGATATGTTGCTCCAATAAATGGAATTTAACCTTGTAATGCCTTTTAAGCTGTTTGATTTCAATGCTTGGAAGCTGCCAGAAGTTATAAATGCATACTGCATGTTACTCTGATAGGTTAAACATTAAAAAGAAAGGTTCTTTAATAGTTTTTGGGTTCAGCAAAAAGCCTTCAGGCTACAGTTTTCATGAACTGATTTAAGGAAATATGCAAAATATAACACCACTCCTTAGAATTCAAGTTCCAGTTAGAAACCATAAAATAATTTGATGCCATAAAAAAAACATTCATAAAATGCAGAAACCATGACTGATCTCAACAACCTATATAGTAACATTAAGAACTTTTACTATCTCCGATGAACCATAGGCTACAATAATTTCAGAAATGTTTTATTATACAGTGAAAAGTGTTTAGTAACATTCAGGAGTTAAAGATGAAAACTTGCAGTTATAAATAAATAAATGTTTATAATTAAAAATAGTTTTTGTCTTTTAATACTTCACCAAGATGTCACTTTTAATACTAGTCACTGGTCATTATATTTACATAACAGTTTCAAATGTTTAGAAAAAAACAATGAAATAAAGAGTTAGCAAATATGAGAATGTATACTTATTTTTTTTTAAAAAGTGTATTTGGGTAAATCGATACATCATGTACAAAATGTTTATATTTACCATAGCATTAACATGTTCTAAGGATAGCTTAAGATATTGTACAGAATCTTATCTTTTACACATGTGCCGTTTACATTGGAGGGGCTGAATATGTTGATACAACATTCAGTTGTTATAGTGTAATGTTTATTCTGTGTATTTTGTATCAGTAATGTGAGCATTAAGTTATCAATAAAGATAGGTAATGTTATTTAAGTTAACAGATTTATAGGTTCTCATCTAAAAATAAATTTTTCAAAAAGTAATAAAATTAATATGCCATAGATAATTAAATCCAAATGTTACTACTTAATTTGTAACATGATAATTTCAGATATTTTTTTTAACATGATACATTTAGAACTACTAGTTCATAAAAAATAAACACCTTACTAGGTTTGCGATGTTGATAACTGGAATCGCATCACCGCCGTCTGTGAAAAAGGGTCCATGGGTTCAATTTCGTTTAACGTATACTTGACAAACCATAAACTGTCTTTTCCCCAATTGGCTGATGAGGACTTAGCATTTATTTCCCCTAATATATATATATATATATATATATATATATATATATATATATATATATATATATATATATATATGTATACCTAAAATATAGTGGATTTCCCTAATATCTATAAAATCCACAAACAATGCTTGATTTTGTTCTCTACAGCTTTTGTATGAATAGTTGTGCTCTGTAGGCACATCCAGCTGTATTTGCTATCATTAAATTAAGATACAATGAGGAACCTTTGATGACTTGTCATCTGACTGATAAGTACACACCACCTCCACTATCTTATTGTTTTTAAAATTGGCTGTATGCTTTTTAAGTAGTCAGGCATCCACTTAATAAATAAATGATTAACTATAGAAGGCTTCGTCACACCTCAATAAACGCTCCCTGACAATGTAATCCATTACTTCAACAGAGGAGGAGTGGACAGCTATGTTAGGAAACAAAGGATATGCCTAAAATTGTTGCTGAATACATACATAAATTGGACAACTGTCATTGGGAAATCTGATCTCTGAATATGAAGGACATTTTAATAGCATCATGTTTAGTGTGCCCCAGTTGCAGCTAGTGTGAGTTGCCTAATAACAAAGTTCTCATTGAGTTCTTTCCAGCACTGGTTATATCATTGGAAAAGCCACGACAATAAAACCCAACACTTGCCGGAACTTTACACCCTCTCTCAATTTCATTCCTGAAAAGAGGTACACATATCCTGGGTGACTATCCTCACCTATTAAATTGCTTTAATACTCTCTTGCTCTCTTCGAAATGTTTTTGTTTTGTTTTGTTTTTGCAAATTCACTGCTGCCAAGGGTTAATAAATCATTTTTATGACTGAAAAGAGACAAGCAAAAATATATAAGAACAGCAACCACGACTTCTAAAGGCAAAATAAATACTATGATTATAATCTTAACAAACCTTTAATCCTTAATAATAAATGTCAGTGTGTAACTCAGCAGTACCTCTTTTTCTATGAAATAAATATTCTCTTTCCATATAGTAAAAATTTATGCAATAAACACAATGGGGTTTAGTTTCATTTGCAGCCTGTGTTCAAAGTTGGCAATAAGCACTGTTGAAATACATGAAATACAATACAATAAATACAACAAATCAGAAAACAAAATCAAAATAAAACAGATAATCTCAGTGACACACAATGAAGCAAACTATTTTCTTTGGGCCTTCATACAAAGAAAAAATGTATGCCTTTAAACTTTGTATTCAAATGTTTCCAAAACAAAACTCCTTACTGGTTTTCAACAACAACATTTTATATCAGTCAGCCTCTGTACTATCTATTGTCTTCTATACTTATAGCTACACACAGATTACTAGATACTTAGAAGCGGCACACTTTTAGATTTGGTCTAAACTGGAAGCTTTCTTCCAGTTCTAACATTCTAACAATTCCAAACTGTCTTAGAATCTGTTCAAATAAAAAGCAACATCACAAATTTACAAATTAGTTTTGCTCTGACTTAAATGTACACAAAAAGGTGTAATATTTGAGGAGGAGAAAAAAAACCCCATCATGTAATGATTAAGTAAAAAACACACACATATATATATATATATATACAGTTGTGTTCAAAATAATAGCAGTCCAACATCACTAACCAGATCAATCACTGTTTTTGGTAGAAATTATATTTCTACATGGCAAATAATTTACTAGTAGGTGTAGTAGAGTAATAGAAAAACAACAGACCCAACAGTCATGACATGTATGTTGCTAATTCTGTATAATTGAATCATTAATTGAAAGGGGTGTGTTCAAAATAATAGCAGTGTGGAGTTCAATTAGTGAGGTTAATCATTCTGTGAAAAAAATAGTGTCAATAAGTGGCCCTTATTTAAGGACGAAGGCAGTACTGGACTGTACATGGTGGTTATAGTGCATTTCTCTCTGAAGATCTGAATAAAATGGGCCGTTCCAAACATTGTTCAGAAGAACAGCGTACTTTGATTAAAAAGTTGATTGGAGATGGGAAAACTTATAAAGAAGTGCAGAAAATGATAGGCTGCTCAGCTAAAATGGTATCAAATGCTTTAAAATGGCAACCAAAACCAGAAAGACGTGGAAGAAAACGGAAAACTACCGTTCGAATGGATCGAAGAATAGCCCAAATGGCAAAGACTCAGCCAATGATCAGCTCCAGGGTGATCAAAGAAGATCTAAAGTTACCCCTGAGTACAGCAACAATTAGAAGACGCCTATGTGAAGCCAAGCTATCAGCAAGAAGCCCCCGCAAAGTCCCATTGTTGAAACAACGACATGTGCTAAAGAGGATACAATTTGCCAAAGAACACATTGACTTGCCTAAAGAGAGATGGCGCAATATTTTGTGAACTGATGAAAGCAAGATTGTTCTTTTTGGGTCTAGGAGCCGCAGACAGTTTGTCAGACGACCCCCAAACACTGAATTCAAGCCACAGTACACTGTGAAGACATGATGCTTGGTGGCACAAGCATCATGATATGGGGATGTTTCTCATACCATGGTGTTGGGCCTATTTATCGTATACCACGGATCATGGATCAGTTTGAGTGCATCAAAATACTTAAAGAGGTCATGTTGCCTTATGCTGAAGAGGAAATGCCCTTGAAATGGGTGTTTCAACAAGACAACGACCCAAAACACACCAGTAAGCGAGCAGCATCTTGGTTCCAGACCAACAAGATTAACGTTATGGAGTGGCCAGCTCAATCCCCGGACCATAATCCAATAGAAAACCTGTGGGGTGACATCAAAAATGCTGTTTTTGAGGCAAAATCAAGAAATGCAGAGGAACTGTGGTCTGTAGTGCGATCGTCCTGGGCTGGAATACCTGTTCACAGGTGCCAGAAGTTGGTCGACTCCATGCAACACAGATGTGAAGCAGTTCTCAGAAACCGTGGTTATACAACTAAATATTAGTTCAGTGATTCACAAGAAAGCTAAATCTTCAAGCATTTTTCAGTTTATACAGTAAATGTTTGACTTTGTAAAGAAAAATGCATACACTGCTATTTTTTTGAACAGCCTAATATTCCCTTTTCTTCACTTTCTATAAAGTAAAAACAAATTTCATACATTTTTCTTCATGTTTTGATCTTGAATAGAATGTGCAGTGTTCCCAATGCATTTTTGTGTATTGAAATAAAAGTTATTATTAGGATTTTGAGCTTTACTCACTTTTTTTAAACACACTGCTATTATTTTGAACACAACTGTAAATATATATACATACACACACATTTTTGTGTTCAGTAAGGGTATGTAGTAGGGGTGTAACGATACACAAACCTGACGGTTCGGTTCGTCCCACGGTTTTGAGGTCTCGGTTCGGTTCGGTTCATTTCGGTGGGGTGGGGGGGTTTAGAAAGCTAAAATTGCTTTTATTTTTTATTAAACAGTGCTTTAATGAACAAATTGTGTCCTTGTCTTTAAATTAATTCAATTACAAGTTAAACGTTTCTCAAGGATAACAAAATGATCTGCTAATGCTGTAAACTACAGCCCTTACTTGCACATTACTATAACATTAAAGCTTAACAACAGAGCCTAGACTTTTAGCCTAAATGATATAATAATAATCAACACTCAAATAACAAATTGTATGAAAACATGTAAACTGCACATAAGGCAATTTTTGCATTAACATGTTTTTACTCTAATTTGTTATTGTTATATAATAATTTACACAGTTGCTGTTATTTTCATGACAACTATTTTAAACATACATTAAATAATCAAGATATCATAAACAGGTTAAGTAAAATATAATATATAGGCTAATATATAGCATTTATTTAGTGAAAGAGTTAGCAAACCAGCAAGCTGTGGACACTGAATGACTTGCCTGAGGTAAATATAAAGCTATGTGAAAAACTAAGCGTTTTATTGACGTTTTTCCGCTGTTGAAACACTGATTGAGTGTTTACACGAGTTATGATGCCTTTCAGTAAGTATACTGTATCTTTCAACATACCTTCGGGTGTCCATTCATGTTTATTCTGTAACTGAGGGAGAGATGATCACGCTCCGCGCTGCCGCATGCATACAATGATATCTGTCACGCCACATCTAAGAGCGCCAAAACGGCATTTATTGTTTGCATTTCGTGATCAAATAGACATAATTTGAAAGATTACACCTTGCTTATTATCAAAAGTAACAAAACACTGAGCTTATTGCGATTATATGTGGTTAATGGTGGTTAGGCAACAGCCCTGTATTCGTTGTGTACACATAACACATGAGGTGCAATGAGCCGGGGCTGGGCGGGGCAGCAGGGGGCGGGGCGTGTTCGGTTCGCCATGAGAGTATCGCGATACGTATCGTGGGTGGTGTATCGCGGTTTTTCGGTTCGGTTCAAATATCGTTACACCACAAGTATGTAGGTACAATTCCAAAGAATAAAGAACCTATTGTATATCACTTATTGTGACATACATAAATATTGTCGAAGTTCCTTATCTTTTCATTAGAGCGATGTGAATAGGTGCCACTCTGTTTAGCATTATGCCGCAAGTGTGAGTTTCTTCTGACTTTAAAAAGTACTGGCTTCAACAAGAGGAAGCTAATAAGGCATCAGAGGGTGCCTTACTTCTCTGTCAGTGTCATGATGACAGATATTAGCAGGCCTTTCTGCATCCGTTCATCACCCAAAACAAGGCTTAAGGCATTAAGATTTGGCTCAGGTCATCCACTTATGCAGATTTCTTAGCCACAGCTAAACCAATCAGACCAGCCAATCCAGCCAAACCCAGACCAATGCCACCAACAATTGCCATTCCAACCAGCCCATCTAGAAAACATAAGAATGAGAAACATGTTCAATGCAAATTCCTTGTTCAATCTTAAGACATGTAAAGATTACTTGTATACAGTACCTATATAGCCTACACTACATATTATTACTATACACCTTAAATAAAGAAATGGACAATATACATGCTCACCTTTCTTCATGGTTTTATTAATGAGTTTCTCCAGATCTAAAGCTTGAGAATTTCCAGGTTCATTCCTCAGTAAAGTCCTGATGTATTTCAGAGCTCTCTCATATTCCTAGAGTTAATATAAAACAGGAGAATGAGATTCGCAGTCATTCCAACTATAAGTGTCCAATGTAAACATGAGATAACAACCTTGAACTTGTAGTTGGCTACAGCAAGATAAAACAGATAATCCCGCTGGTCATCTTTGGTGCCTTTATGAATAAGTTCTGGTGAAAGACAAAGCAATTCCACATTTATATTTATTAGTAAGACAAAATTATAGTGATTGTAAAGATTAAATGTAAATACAGAAATCTGATTTACTTCAAGAGCATTACATTTTTTATAGTATTTCACTCTTCCCTGCATGTATAAAAATTCAATTTCACCATTCTAAACTTTTGTAGTTCTATATAGGCATATTGGAAAAATTTACATGAACTTAAACACATGTGCCTTTCTTAGTAATGTACTCCTTATGTTCATGTTTGTTTAATAATATTTGTTGTATAAGATTTAGATTTTTTTTTTTTTGTACCATTTCCAAGGGAAAAATGTAGTGATGCTAAAATGTTATGTGGTGTAACCATCAAGTAAAAAATAATATATTCGACTTAAAACAGGGATTAAAAAAAATTCTCCCGACTGAAAACTTGTTTTCAGGCTAGATCATATTTCTTGAACCGGAATCCATAACCGGAATACAAATGCTATTATCTAGTAACTTATTAGAAACATACTTTTTTTTTAATTATAAACATAACAGCTTAAAAATTCACGTTTTGGATATATACGTCCAAGTATCGTCAATTTATGCTTACCACACAAACCTTATTTTACTCATAAATTAAAAAAAACCCATCATAATTTCCTTATTTCCCATTGGAAAATCTTGTGGGAACCACTGGCAAATTAATCTTCTGGGTTTTTTTTCACAATTTTTATTTTTTTCCACAAATGGACGTGGTGTCCAAATGTTAATAATTAATATTTCCTGCTAAATTATGTACATAGAGACATATATTTTGTTAGGTCAGTTATCAATGTCTGCAATATGCAGTAAACACACCCCTCTTAACGACTTTTGCAAATCCTGTGTAAAAAAAACCCTCTGATAACATCCTAGGTAACAATAAATTTACATATATCCTAGAAGCTAATCTAGAATGACTGAAAAACTGCAAACCGGGTCCTTTTAGGTCAAGGTCAGTCAATGATGTCCTCTGTCAATACACTGTAAAACCCAACAAGTTTGAGGAAATCGATTGCCTTAAACCATTTAAATTAAAAAAAATTATTTATGATGTTCAGGGGAGAGTGGGGCACAACCTAACACTTTTTGACTTACTCAGTTTGTGTAAATCCACTTGGAGTTTAGAGAAGTAATTTTTCCCCCACATTAATTTCCCACGTCTAGTACAATTATGGGCTTTTGTTTCATATGGTGTTGATATGGCAACTAGTAAATACATTAAGTTTCGTCATGCTGGCATGTGTGGAAAGTTTTAAACCATGTGTGTTACAACTAGCCCCGCATTAGGTTGTGCCCCGCTCACCCCTACTATGGACTTATTCCATTTGAGTCCACATCATATTAAATTAAACTATAATTATTCCACTTAAATACTTAAAAAATTTAATTAAATACATTAATTAAATTGCATTACACAATTAAAATCAGAATCTTTCATTTAGCTCAACTCTTTTATTGTTAACTGCTAGTTAGCAATAGCACTACTAAAGTAGTTAGCAAATATTATTACTGTGCTGGGGTGTGCACAGCTATTGCTTTTTAAATAAAGCAGCATATAGTCTTGATGTTAATTGGCCAGTCCTCAACCTAATCACAGGCTCTACTCTTCTCCACAATGGTAACCCCCAAAATTTAAAAGGGTTTCTGTTATGTCTAATATACAATATGGGATATATATTAATATTATATTAATACTATATTAATCTTGAACAAAATCACATAAAATAACAAGTCAAGTCACCTTCATTTATAAAGCGCTTTTAACAGTATGGATTGTTTCAAAGCAGCTTTACAGTTATAATAGAATTTACCAAGATTGTTTAGGCTTTACAACAGTATTAAGATAAAGTTATTGTCCAGATAAAGTTAGTTTTGATTGATTAACTTCCGTTGTGAAGATCATTAGTTATTAACTTAGGGGCCGCTATCACGACACCGTTCTAACAGAAAAACTCTTAACGCGCTCCGGCTGCCCATCCGCACAAAACAGTGCCTGGTGTCTCGAGAACGCACTCCCTGAAATAGGTTCGAAGGTGCAAACTATTACCTGTTATCTCAGCGCAAACCTCAAAAATGCAAAAACGCAGATGGTGCACACATGTGCATCACGTGTTCAGGCAATAGGTATGCGTGTTTGAAAATTTATGTGTGCAGGCGTGTAGTCCTCCTTCCCTCAACAAACTACTTATCTGATCTTAAAAATGTATAATACAGAATTTTTTGTCGCGTCTGCGTAGCCACGCGAAACGGAATTATCCCGACAATGTTTCATCTGTACAGAGGCCGGGTCGGCCCGATATTTCCCGACACTTTCCTGGGGCCGGGCCGGGCCCTTGATCTAGAGACGGGCGCGGGCGGTAATGCACTCACTCTGTGTGTGCGGGTTGTGGGAGAATAAAACGATTTGCGGGACTCACGCAAACTAGAAATATCTATGAATAAAACATATAAAAACTAATAGATTTTTATTCGTCTGTTGCAGAAAAGCAACTAGAACAACTAAAACAAAATAGAAATGATTTACAGGCCAGAGTTTCTATTCAAAACATGTTTGCAGCGTTGAGCAATGTAGCCAATCACAGACATATGTGTTGATTTCTTGAACGCAATGGCCAATCAGAAGCATTTAAGATAGACTCCCCTCAGCGCTCAAAACTGACTTTTTGTTCAGTGCTGAATTCTGTATGCTGGCAAATCCTCTAATTACAACAAACAAGGTGTGGATATTATGAATGATTAATTGTGCAGTCAGCTTCATTGATAATAACAGAGATGTGTGAGATCGCGATGAACTGTCAGCTTTTTAGGAATTATTAATTAAAGCAGCACACTTTGCACGTATTCAGTCATGCCAGACCATGCACGCAGTTGTCAGGATTCCACCAGCTTCACTCATTCCTCCCACTCGTTCACTCACTCCTCCCACTTATTCACAGTCCCCTGAGTTTTAATCACCATCACCTGCACCTCATCAGTTCACCTCCCTATTTATTCAACACCTCTTCACACACTCATTGTCTGGTCTCGTCTCTACAGACTATCACACTACTTACCTGCTACCTACCTGAGTTCCATCCATCGATCACCTGCTAACCTTCACACGGAAGTTCAGTCTCCAGTCTCCGGTCATCAGCCTGTTCCCAGTGACTTTCCATCCGCATCTGTAAACAAAGACTCTGGTTATCCTTCAGCTAAGTTCCATCCTGAATATCGTCTGCTTGCATACTCAGCATATCTCTGTCTGGATCTGCAACCTGTAAATAAACACTATTTCACTTACCACCTGTCTGACTCCTGTTCCATCCGTGACAGAAGACCAGACCAACGAAATGCAGAGTCCAGCGGAGCCCGTGGAGAATCCATCTCGCGATCCATTCGCGGAACTGGTTCAGGCTGTTCGCCAGTCCTTACTTCCTTCTCCACCGGCTAATCCACCCACCATTCCCGAGGATCTCCTTCACTCAGCACGCCACCATTCACTTCCGCAAACATCCGCTGCCTCGTCAGCTGCCTCTGCAAGTCCCATGGCCCGACCAGCGACATTCAACGGAGAGGCGGAGGATTGCAGCGTTTCTTTTGCTTCAGGTATCGCTATATTTCCAAATGCAGGCACATCAATTCTCTAACGATTCAGCCTGAGTGGCGTTTATTATCTCCCTGCTGTCTGGCAGAGCTCTCCAATGGGCCCAATCTCTCTGGAACTCAGATTCTCCTGCGGTTAAATCCCTCTCAAGTTTCATTCAACATTTCAGGGAAGTGTTTGGTCAGACAGTTTCCGATCTCACCGTTCATGATCAGCTCTTCAACCTTCGTCAAGGAAAGTCTTCAGTGAGTACATATGCCCTGCGAAATAGAAGGGCATATGTACTCACTGAAGACTTTCCTTGGCGAAGGTTGAAGAGCTTCTGTCATGGTCTTCTGTTTCGTGAGGCTTCTAGTGGCTGGAATGAGACAGCTTTGATGACAGCTTTTCGACATGGTCTCAACCCTAACATCCGTCAGCTGGTGGTGGTATATGAGGATTCCTTGGGAATTGAAAACCTCATTCAGAAAACCATTCGAGTATCTCAACGCTTATCTGCCTGTGATGTTCTAGAAACCGCTGTAAATCCTCCGTCCTCGGCTCCATTGGTCGCCCCTCCAGCACCCGAGCCCATGCAGATTGACTCCACTCATCTTTCTTCTTCAGAGCGGCAGCGTAGAATTCAACAGAGTCTTTGTCTATACTGTGGGGGTGATAAACATCTCATCAACTCCTGCCCTATTCGACCTCAACGCCCTGCGGTAAGCACCATTCAGATTCCTCCTAAGATTTCAACCTTGAACCGCACAACTGTTAATTTATTAACCTCCAGTGTATGCGTCTCAGCACAAGCCCTCCTCGACTCCGGCTCGGAACTTCATTTCCACTCAACTCCTACAAAAATTGAACGTTCGTAAACGCCGAAGTCATCAAGATCTCCGAGTCCAAACCATCCAGGGTAGACCGCTGGGTCGAGGTCGAATTCGTCACTTCACCCCCACACTGACGCTCCGCATCGGCTGCCTGCACTTGGAAGAGATCTCCTTCATGGTGCTGGAGGAGTCCACTGCTGAGCTCATTCTGGGACGCCCTTGGATGGTCCAACATCAACCCATCATCGACTGGAAATCCGGGGAGGTCCTTCGCTGGGGAGAAGACTGCTCGCATTCCTGTCTAGCTTCGGTTGAGAAGGTCCAGAAAGCCCCCTCTTCTTCATCTTCGGTGGGAAAGTCCGAGTTTCCCGTGTGTTCCACGTCCATTGAGAGTCCGGAGGTCCATCACCAGGTGGAGATTCCTGCTGAGTATAGGGCGTTCCAGGATGTGTTTAGCAAGCAGTTGGCGACCAAACTACCACCTCACCGGCCATGGGACTGCGCTATCGACCTGCTACCTGGAGCCACCCTGTCTAAAGGCCGCGTCTATCCTCTGTCCATGCCGGAGCAGAAGGCCATGGAGGAGTATGTGTTGGAGGCTCTTCAAAAGGAGTTCATTCGACCCTCTACATCCCCTGCCGCTTCGTCCTTCTTAGCCACGAAAAAGAAGCTGGGACCCCACTAACACAGAACGTTTAAGGAACGTTAGTTTATGGTTCTCTAAAGGTTAGTTTGAACCAAACCAAAAACTAACGTTCCCTAAATGTTAAGGGAACCAACCAACTAAAACGTTCTCCTGTGATTGCACTATACCTCCACACAACGTTCCCGTTTGGTTGTTTTTGGTTGTTCTGAGTGCGGTTTTGAAATGTTTTAACCAGCTCTCCATTTAATGACGTAGCATATAGAAGGTTTGCAGTCACTTGATTTAGATTCACTCAAAAATGATTGGTCTTATGAAATATAAGTAAGATAAACAGCATAGCAAGAGAATATATTTATTTTTAGGCTGATAATAAATTTAGCTAAAAACAATACTTTTTTGCTTGATTTAGTTTTTTTAACTGTATTAGTTAAAAATACTTAAAACAAGAATATCAATAGAACAATTTTTACAACTAAGAAAATTCACTTTCATTTCACATTTCACTTTTAACAAGTGGCTCAGTTCGGTGTACAAATCCAACCGTTACACCCCAACACCAGTAGGGGGAAGTGCCTCTGCTTTCAGGTGACAGATTGAAGTCCTGTACTGACTTCCGTGTTGTGCTATTTACATACACCAAAGTCCTTCTGGATCGACACAGAACTTGCCTGGGAACCCGTCTTTCAGGTAAATGGACGCTCGAGATAAATTGGTGCGTTTGAGCACAGGTATATTAGCCCTAAACGTTATAGACACGTTTTAGTTAGTGCTAGCTCCCAACTTAACTGACCAGTTCATGTTGCCTAGTACAAGCCACCTTGTGTAGTTACATTTTTTTTAATTCATTTTTTTTTCGTCTCTTTATAGAAATACACACATAGCACAGTTTCATGTAGGATTAAACAAATAATAATAGTTCGGTAAAATATTTTTATAATAGTTTTCTCCTATCACTGTTAGAATACATTCAGAACTTGTTTCATTTATTCCTGTACCGTTGGCATCCCTGTGCCGTAAGGGTGTGTGATGTTACACACTGTAGCATTATACTTTTACGTTTAAACAGTAAATAAAAAAACTCTATCTAATGGTTAAGTGCAGGAAAGAGATAAAAAAAAAACACTATACGTGGGTAGTACCACTGTGTCGGAGAGAGCAACACACTCCATTTTAGTTTAAAATTACCCTCTAAAATGCTGATTGGCCAGGTTGCCTGACGTCAAGGCGTGTGACGCAACACGGACGTTCCTGATTGGCTGGGAGAAATGGATAAGTCTACGTAGAACCCCATTCACTATCAGGAAGTCTTGGAAAAACGACCTACACAGCTTCACATTCTCACGAAAAAGTAAGTGAAATACGCTACAGTTTCATGATGTTGTGGTTGTAATGCAAGTGTTTGGGGTTTAACCTTAAGCCCTTTCCCTCGTAGGGCTTTGTTATATTCCGGCACAGCACATGCTCATATGACTGTTTTGGGTCCTGTAGCTGTAATAATGGATATAGCTCCAGCTAAATGGCTGTAATTCATATATATATATATATATATATATATATATATATATATATATATATATATATATATATATATATATATATATATATATATATATATATATATATATATATATATATATATATATATATATATATATCTGTAATGCATATATTGGGCTTTGTTTGAGTCTTTATATGCGGCTGTGCACGACGTGTATGCTTTGCCGCATTGTATGTTTTGTGTCATGTTAATCATGTCATGTCATCTCTTTACACCATTATTTACACCATTCAAATTTTCTTTTTGTAATCTGTACAAATTGTTTAGTCTTTTATTTCAGATTAAACTGTTCCACAAGCAATAAAGCATTCCAGGACAGAGTGTGTGTCTGGAAGCCCAGTCCGTAAGTTAACATTTATGCATGCATTTAAGAAACCAGAGTCATAATTCCTACCATGGAACTACTGAGTACTGACATTCAACCTGGTGCATATCATGTGACTGTTCTGATGTTATTGTCTCTTCCTGCCTTTTTTCAGGTCTGCAGTTGCCTCCACCACCTGCATGTAAGGTTTTTTTTTTTTTTTTTTTGCCATGTGCAAGAAACCTGCCATAAATGAACTGACCAATATTCATATCTACTTTCTTTTTAGATGAGTCAACACCACACAGAAAACCAGCCAGTCACCCAGAATTGAATGGGTCTATTGTGACACAAGCTCAGCCTGAAGGTACAGTGGCTTTGAATTTTCCATTTCCAATTAAATACAATTTCATGACAAGGAACTTGAGAGTAACTTGACTTTTTTTGTTGTTGTAAACAGCAGAACTCATCACACAGAGGGAGGTGGCTCAGCCATGGAGTATATATATGCAAGTATATAATGTATAACAACTAAAACTAACACCAATCATTTTTCCATAGCCGTGAGGACATCCATTACCCGCATGGCACAGCAGATGGACGCATTTGAGGAGAAGATGACATGTTGCATGACCTCTGCTCCAGTCGATGACATGTTGCTGTCGCCCTGCTCAACAGTCACAGAGCTGGAGGAGTTCGACAGGAGTCTCGGTCAACAGGAGAGGAGGGACAACATGGTAATTAAGTGGCCATAGTCCTGCCCTAAGATTAACACTATTTAATTGCATAACTACAAATATCATTATAACTGAACTGACGGCTCTTCCCAAATGAGATTGTACAAGCTCTCCACTTTGTTCTACATGTATAATTTGTATTTCTATATGTTTTACAGCAACTTTTCCTGACAACCCTTGGAGGTTCGACCAGAGGTACTGCCATCCGTCACATGCTACGGCAAGTGGCAACCAATGACGTGCTAAAACAGTATAGTCTGCGGGGCAGAAAGGCAAAGAAGGCCCGCTGGACCTGACAATCTGCAGGGTTATTACAGGCAGGTGTTATTTTATTGTTCACATTAGTATTACTTTTAGCTTGAAGGTTTTAATTTGACTTGTAACTATGCTTAATTTTGACTTCTACGCTAGCGGCCTCCCAGAAAAACTTCCCCGCGCTGACTGCAGCAGATGCGGAGGACTTGATTGGGCAAGTGCTAAAGTTAGCCTCACACAGACGGTAAATTGAAATTCTTCTATGT